GGAGTTCAAGACCACCCTGGGCCACGTGGTGAAACCCTGTCACTACAAAAATACAAAAATGAGCCGGGCACAGCGGCACATGCCTGTAATTGCAGCTACTTGGGAGGCTGAGACACGAGAATCACTTGAACCCAGGAGGCGGAGGCTGCAGTGAGCCAAGATTGAACCTCTGCACTCCAGCCTGGGCAACAGAGTAAGACTCCATCTCATTTACTAGCTGTGCCACTTAGCTTATTCTTAAATTGCTTCAGCTTTTGTTTGTACTCATCTGCAAAATGAGGGAACAGCACAAAGTCATCCCTCAGAGACTGCTTTTTTTTTTTTCTTGTTTTTGAAACGGAGTTTCACTCTTGTTACCCAAGCTGGAGTGCAATGGCACAGTCTCGGCTCACCATAACCTCCGCCTCCCAGGTTCAAGCAGTTCTCCTGCCGCAGCCTCCCAAATTGCTGGGATTACAGGCACACGCCACCACACCTGGCTAATCTTGTATTTTTAGTAGAGACCGGGTTTCTCCATGTTAGCCAGGCTGGTCTCAAACTCCCAACCTCAGGTGATCCGCCCACCTCGGCCTCCCAGAGTGCTGGGATTACAGGCATGAGCCGCCAAAGTAAAACTTTTAATAATGACTCTACGACTTAGGACCAACACAGACTTCCTGGGGATGATGTTAGAGAGCTCTGGCCACCTATGGCTAAACCTTCCTGTGTGTTTTGGGTGGTTGGGAGAGTGTGAGAGGCTGTGCTTATGAGTTAATTATTTTTCTTCAGATTTTCCATTGTGAAGGATCTATGCTAAAATCTTGTTAACAGTGGTTAACATGGATTGGACTAGGGCTGGTTTTAATTTTCTTTTTTTGAGATGGAGTTTCACTCTTGTCGCCCAGGCTGGTGTGCAATGGCACAGTCTTGGCTCACTGCAACCTCCACCTCCTGGGTTCAAGCGATTCTCCTGCCTCAGCCTCCCAAGTAGCTGAGATCACAGGCGCCCACCACCATGCCTGGCTAATTTTTGTATTCTTAGTAGAGACAGGGTTTCACCATGTTGGCCAGGCTGATCTCAAACTCCTGACCTCAGGTGGTCTGCCAGCCTTGGCCTCCCAAAGTGCTGGGATTACAGGTAGTGAACCACCACATCCGGCCAATTTTCCTCATATTTTTTCAAATTTTCTACATGAAAATTTATTTTATATACATATAATCAGAAATTTTATGAAAAAAAATTATTGCATATAGGGGGTATACTCAGCCTTTTCTAGTTATGACTGTTAGGGGGGCATCTAATTTAAGTTAATGCCCCTGATATTCAAATATACTGCTGTTGCCAACACTGGGCCACTGGCCATACAAACCTGTGCCAAAGTTTTCCTAGACCCACAGTGAGAAAAATAAATGACAACAGTTGATTTCTTGTAATGCTGAATGTATTCATCTTAAAGAAGTTTAATTCTGGCCGGGTGCTGTGGCTCACGTCTATAATCCCAGCACTTTGGGAGGCTGAGGCGGGCAGATCACCTGAGGTCAGGAGTTCGAGACCAGCCTGACCAACATGGAGAAACCCCGTCTGTAATAAAAATACAAAATTAGCTGGGCGTGGTAGCGCATGCCTGTAATTGCAGCTGCCCAGGAGGCTGAGGCAGGAGAAGTGCTTGAACCCAGGAGGCAGAGGTTGCGGTGAACTGAGATCGAGCCATTTAACTCCAACCTGGGCAACAAGAGCAAAACGCCATCTCAAAAATAGTTGTTTAATTCTGAGATGATGTCCTTCCTACTCTTTTGGCATGAAATCTTTCTTGGAGTCCACCATGAGGTATCTTTCTCAATTTTGTTTTTTTGTAGAGATGGAGTCTCACTGTTGCACAGGCTGGTCTCAAACTCCTGGGCTCAAGCAGTCTTCCTCCCTCAGCCTCCCAAAGTGCTGGGATACAGGTGTAAGCCACTGCTCCTAGCCTAGTTACCTTTAAAAAAATTTTTAATTGTACTAATCAATGAAATAGTCTGGGAAATGCTGAAATCTGGTGTTTTCTTCCTTTATTTCTGATTATGTAAAATTTTGTTTATTTTCTTTTTTTGAGATGGAGGCTCGCTCTCTTGCCCAGACTGGAGTACTGTGACACGATCTCGGCTCACTGCAACCTCTGCCTCCCAGGTTCAAGCACCCACCACCACACCCGGCTAATTTTTTTGTATTTTTAGTAGAGGTGGGGTTTCACCGTGTTGGCCAGGATGGTGTCAAGCTCCTGACCTCAAGTGATCTGCCCGCCTCAGCCTCCCAAAGTGTTGAGATTACCGGCCTGAGCCACCATGCCCGGCTCCAGCTAATTTTTGTACTAAAAGTAGAGATGGGGTTTCGCCATGTTGGCCAGGTTGGTCTTGAACTCCTCACCTCAAGTGATCCTCCCTCCTTAGACTCCAAAGTGGTTGGATTACAGACGTGAGCCACCGTACCCAGCCTGATTATGTAAAATTTAAAATTAGCGAGACCTCATCTCTACTAAATAAATTAAATCTAAAAAATTTAAAGGCATTCCTATTAATGGGTATTATTCATTCTCTATTACATTAGAATATGTGTAAAAGTAATTATTGGCAACATTTCTTTTTTTTATTTTTTTTTAATTTTTTTTATTTTTGAGACGGAGTCTCGCTCTGTCCCCCAGGCTGGAGTGCAGTGGCCAGATCTCAGCTCACTGCAAGCTCCGCCTCCCGGGTTTACGCCATTCTCCTGCCTCAGCCTCCTGAGTAGCTGGACTACAGGCACCCGCCACCATGCCCGGCTAATTTTTTGTATTTTTAGTAGAGATGGGGTTTCACCGTGGTCTCGATCTCCTGACGTTGTGATCCGCCCGCCTCGGCCTCCCAAAGTGCTGGGATTACAGGCGTGAGCCACCGCGCCCGGCGGCAACATTTCTTTTGAAGGTATTTCAGGTAGTTTCTAGTCATTATTTTAGAGTACTCTGGATTATATAGCATTTTATTTATTTATTTTATTTTATTTTTGAGACAGAGTCTCACTCTATCGCCCAGGCTGGAGTGCAGTGGTGCGAGCTCAGCTCACTGCAGCCTTTACCTCCCAGGGTCTAGCGATTCTCCTGCCTTAGCCTCCCAAGTAGCTGGGATTATAGGTGCATGCCACCACACCCGGCTAATTTTTGTAATTTTATTAGAGATGGGGTTTCACCATGTTGGCCAGGCTGGTCTTGAACTCCTGACCTCAGGAGATTCACCCGCCTCAGCCTCCCAAAGTGCTGCGATTACAGGTGTGAGCCACCATGCCCACCCTAGCATTTTAAAATTGTTCCAAATTATAGTTATGTTGAAATAGAGTCTTTACATTCAGTCTGCTTTATTTCTCTTTCAAGACTTAGATTGGAGTCCCAAGAGTGGTGGATTAATAGAATTGAGATTTTGTTGTATGCTTATCCCCACCAGGAAAATAAGGCCCAAAATGTTAAATACAATTTGGAAGTAGCTAGCTCCATGTTTTTGAGTGGGCCATAATCAGAGGTATCAATCTTAAGGTACAGTCTAGGCACAAAGGAAAGTCATTTGCAGACTCCCAGTACAAGGATGTTGATCATATGGAAACCCTTCCCTCATGACCAAATCATGGTCTCTAAAACCTTCTTGATATACTTGCAGGGGAGGGGGTGGGTGTGAGTCTGCCACCATCATAAGATGGTTTCTCCTTCATTTGAAGTAACTGTAGGAATTGATTGCCCTCTGACATGTCACAAGCACTTGTCACAGTTCCCTAGTTTGTGGGTCTCTAGACCCCTTCCTTGTCTGCTAGCTAATGCCTCTGTTAAACATGGGGAAGGAGATGTAAAAGGAGTTAAAATGCAGGTCTGTCCAGTTTGCTCACCCTTACCTCTGATTTGCTAGGGCTGGAGGTTGAAATAAAGTTTAGAGATTCACTCTTGATTTCATGAAGTCATGATCTGGTGTCCTTCCTTGGCAAAGTCAGTGTTGTAAGGATGTAATGTGTGTCAGTCAACAGTCTTTCTCTCCAAATTTTCCTTTAAAAAAAAAAAAAAAAAAAAACAGGCCAGGCACAGTGGCTCACTCCTGTAATCCCAGCATTTTGGGAGGCCAAGGCAGGCAGATCACCTGAGGTCGGGAGTTTGAGACCACCTTGACCACCATGGAGAAACCCTGTTTCTACTAAAAATACAAAATTAGCCGGGCATGGTGATGCATGCCTGTAATTCCAGCTACTGGGGAGGCTGAGGCAGGAGAATAGCTTGAACCCGGGAGGCAGAGGTTGCGATGAGCCGAGATGGTGCCATTGCACTCCAGCCTGGGCAACAAGAGCGAAGCTCCATCTCAAAAAAAAAAAAAATTGAAAATTAAAAAAACCAAAAATCATTGAGAACTATTGTTAGTATTTTTTTAGAAGCAGTCAGTACCCAAAGCTAATTTGGGGGAGGGAGAAGAGTAGAACCAGTGCTTTCACACATACTAGTATCACATTGGACCTTCCTGACAATCCTATGAGCTAATCACATTAGTTGCAGCTAGAAGATTCACTGTGCTGTGATATATGGCCCCTGGTACATGCAGATTGATACAACTTTTTTTTTTTTTTTTTAATTTTGAGATGTGGTTTCTTGTTGCCTGGGCTGGAGTGTAATGGCATGATCTCGGCTCACTGCACCCTCTGCCTCCCAGGTTCAAGCGATTCTCCTGCCTCAGCCTCCTGAGTAGCTGGGATTACAGGTGCCTGCCACCACGCCTGGCTAATTTTTGTATTTTTAGTAGAGATGGGATTTGGCCATGTTGGCCAGGCTGGTCTTGTACTCCTGACCTCAGGTGATCTGCCCACCTCAGCCTCCCAAAGTGCTGAGATTACAGGCGGGAGCCGCCGCGCCAGGCCCGATAGGACTTTTTAGGGGCGCATACGTATAGTACTGGACAAAGTGTTCATAGTGCATATGGTTTATGTTGTAAGAACGTCATGACACTGCATTTGTGAGATAAAACTGATTTATTATCTGTTTCAGATTACAAGCGCCATGGCTATGGCTAGTGTTAAATTGGTTGCTGGTGTTTTAAGAAAGCCAGATGCCTGGATTGGACTCTGGGGTGTTCTCCGAGGGACACCTGCGTCATACAAACTCTGTACTTCCTGGAATCGATACTTGTATTTTTCTAGTACCAAGTTACGTGCACCAAATTATAAAACACTTTTTTATAGTATTTTCTCACTGAGACTCCCAGGACTTTTACTATCTCCAGAATATATTTTTCCTTTTTCCATAAGACTCAAAAGTAATATAAGCTCTACAAAATCTACTAAAAAGTCTCTGCATAAAGTAGATGAAGAGGACTCTGATGAAGAAAGCGATCATGACGAGATGAGTGAGCAGGAAGAGGAGCTTGAGGATGACCCTACTGTAGTCAAAGACTATAAAGACCTGGAAAAAGCAGTGCAGTCTTTTCGGTATGATGTTATCTTGAAGACGGGGCTAGATATTGGGAGAAAGTGAGTATGATACACATTTCATTATAAACTCACTCATAGTCGTGTTATTTTAATGTAGCATTCCAAATCACTTGGCCCATATTATGGTGAAGAATAACCACAATAAAAGGACCTTTATAGGTAACCTGTTTCAATTATTTCATTTTATAGATGAGCAAACTGATTTCCAAAGAAGTCAAGTGACTGCCTGCAAATCCCATGTGCCATATTAGAAAATTTGAATCTAAGACACAGTTGACTGTAAGATGAACCATTGATTTAATAACAGCTTCTTGAGGAGAAAATGAATCACCATATTAGATGTATGTAGCAAGCATAAAACGCACCCGGATATTTCACAAATGCTATAATGTGAAACGGTACCTCGGCTGGGCACGGTGGCTCATGCCTGTAATCCCAGCACTTTGGGAGGCCGAGCTGCGTGGATCACAAGGTCAGGAGTTCAAGACAGCCTGGCCAATACGGTGAAACTCTGTCTCTACTGAAAATACAAAAATTAGCCAGGCGAGGTGGCAGGCGCCTGTAGTCCCAGCTACTTGGGAGGCTGAGGCAGGAGAATTGCTTGAACCTGGGAGGCAGAGGTTGCAGTGAGCCAAGGTCGCGCCACTGCACTCCAGCCTGGGCAACTGAGCAAGACTCCATCTGGAAAAAAAAAAAAGGTACCTCTTAGAATTAACAGCATGATGTATAATAAGATGATGGTTAAGAATGCAGGCTTTGGCCAGGCGTGGTGGTTCATGCCTGTAATCCCAGCACTTTGGGAGGCTGAGGCAGGCAGATCACAAGGTCAGGAGATCGAGACCATTCTGGCTAGTACGGTGAAACCCAGTCTCTACTAAAAATACAAAAAATTAGCTAGGCGTGGTGACAGGCACCTGTACTCCCAGCTGCTCGGGAGGCTGAGACAGGAGAATGGCATGAACCTGGAGGTAGAGCTTGCAGTGAGCTGAGATGGCGCCACTGCACTCCAGCCTGGGCGACAGAGCGAGACTCCGTCTCAAAAAAAAAAAAAAACAAAACAGAATGTGGGCTTTGGAGCCAGATTACTGGGGTTTCAGTCCTGGTTCTGTGTGACCTTGGGTTAGTTACTTAAACTTTCTGAGCCTCAGTTTTCTCATCTGTAAAATGAAGATGATAGAACCTAGTTTAGAGAGTGGTTGCTAGGATTGAGTGCGTATATATCTATCTCAAGCACTTATAACAGTGTCTGGCACATAGTAGGTACTCAATATATGCGGGCTGTTTTGAAGAAAATACTACATATGTTCATGTATAATAGAGGTATTGAGGCCAGGCGCGGTGGCTCAAGCCTGTAATCCCAGCACTTTGGGAGGCCGAGGCGGGTGGATCACGAGGTCAGGAGATCGAGACCATCCTGGCTAACATGGTGAAACCCTGTCTCTACTAAAAATACAAAAAACTAGCCGGGCGCGGTGGCGGGCACCTGTAGTCCCAGCTACTCGGAGGCTGAGGCAGGAGAATGGCGTGAACCCGGGAGGCGGAGCTTGCAGTGAGCTGAGATCGCGCCACTGCACTCCAGCCTGGGTGACAGAGTGAGACTCCGTCTCAAAAAAAAAAAAAAAATAGAGGTATTGAGTCTAACCTTTCAGATTTCTTTTTTTTTTTTTTTTTTGAGACGGAGTCTCGCTCTGTGGCCCCAGCTGGAGTGCAGTGGCGTGATCTCGGCTCACTGCAAGCTCCACCTCCCGGGTTTACGCCATTCTCCTGCCTCAGCCTCCCAAGTAGTTGGGACTACAGGCGCCTGCCACCACGCCCAGCTAATTTTTTTGTATTTTTTTTAGTAGAGACAGGGTTTCACTGTGCTAGCCAGGATGGTCTCGATCTTGTGACCTCATGATCCGCTCACCTCGGCCTCCCAAAGTGCTGGGATTACAGGCGTGAGCCACTACGCCCAGCAAAGATTTGTTTAGTATTCTGATTCCCTCTCTGCTAGATTAATTATATAAGAATAGTGGCCTTCATTGTTCATTTATTCCTTTAGGAATGATTGCATGCATATTATATACAATGTAAGAATTGTGATATGAATAAATGCAGAAAAAGTCTTGTGTAGTTTGTACCTTTATGACCTAATGTAATGTCATAGTTTAATTTTTTAATCCTTGAAGCTTAAGAGATTTATAAAAAGGGCTGGGCGTGGTGGCTCACGCCTGTAATCCCAGCATTTTCAGAGGCCGAGGCAGGTGGATCACGAGGTCAGGTGATCAATACCATCCTGGCTAACACAGTGAAACCCCGTCTCTACTAAAAATAGAAAAAATTGGCTGGGCGTGGTGGTGGGCGCCTGTAGTTCCAGCTAATCAGGAGGCTGAGGCAGGAGAATGACGTGAATCTGGGAGGCGGAGCTTGCAGGGAGCCAAGATCGTGCCACCGCACTCCAGCCTGGGCGACAGAGCGAGACTTCATCTCAGAAAAAAAAAAAAAAGAGAGAGATTAATAAAAATGAGCCAGCCCACAGGCCCCGCCCTTGGCATTCTGATTAGGGTGCCATTAGAGAATGTTCTCTAAACTCTGTAAACTCTGGCAAACTAATAAGGAGGCCTCTCCTCTCCCAGAGTAGAAACTGCTGCTGTTATTATTAAGCCGAGCTCCACATGTCAGTCACCTGGAATCAGATCATCAAAAAGAAAGGGTGTACTGATTTTTAGCTGCTTCCTCCCCTGGTCTTGTTGCCCCAGTGACTTAAGTTCAGAGAGAACAGCAGCTGTCAGATTGGAATTTCCCCAGCCTCAGTACGAACTGGTAGAGGGTTTCTTAATAGCCTTGCCATACGCGTGATGCCTGGTTTTTCTCTCAGTGTACAGAGCAGGTATCTGAGGGGAAGGCAGTGCCCACTCACTTTGGCTGTCGTGAATCACCAGAGCTGCAGCCTGGCCATGTGATCTCTGCACTGGGAGTCAGGCGGAGTACCCCAGGCCCCTGTCCAGAATGGAGCTTGACATGTATGCTAAAACCTCTCTTAAGGCTCCATCCAATTAACTGCCCAAATCTTTGCAGCAGTTCGACATCTATTTAGAAATGCCCTTTGGTCTCCCTGTTTTAGATACACAACAGAGCAGGTGACTTTCAGTTTCCCAGGACTCAAAATGGAGACTGTGGAGAATCACCGTCAGAGTAAACATTAATGGAAGGCTGGGTGTGGTGGCTCACGCCTGTAATCCCAGCACTTTGGGAGGCCGAGGCAGGCAGATCACGAGGTCAGGAGATCGAGACCATCCTGACTAACACGGTGAAACCCCGTCTCTACTAAAAATACAAAAAAAAAAAAAATTAGCCTGGTGTGGTGGCAGGCGCCTGTATTCCCAGCTACTTGGGAGGCTGAGGCAGGAGAATGGCGTGAACTTGTTAGGCAGAGCTTGCAGTGAGCCAAGACCACACCACTGCACTCCAGCCTAGGCAATGGAGCGAGAATCTGTCTCAAAAAATAATACTAATAATAAAAATGGCAAGTGTTTCTCTCAAACTTGTATACAGTTGATGCTTGAACAGTGTGGGGGTTAGGGGTGCCAACCCCCATGCGGTTGAAATGCCACATACAACTTTTGACACTTAACTGGTAATATTTTGACACTCTGAAAACTTAACTACTGATATAGCCTACTGTTGACCAAAGGCCTTACTGATACACAGTTACAATAAAGTAAGCTCGAGAAAAGAAAATGTTACTAAGAAAAGCATAAGAAAGTGAAAATATATATACTATTTACTAAGTGGAAGTGGATCATCATGAAGGTCTTCATCCTGGCTGAGGAGGAGGAGGAAGAGGAGGTGTGGACTTGCCCTCAGGGGTGGCAGAGGCTAAAGGAAATCCACATATAAGTGGATCTGCACAGTTTGGGCCCGTGCTGGCCAAGGGTCAACTGCGATTGTTTTGAGTATATTTCTATATTTTAAAGCACTTTACCTTTAAAAAAATAGATACAAGGCAGGGCGCAGTGTTTCATGCCTATAATCATAGCACTTTGGGAGGCCAAGGTGGGCGGATTACAAGGTCAGGAGTTCAAGACCAGCCTGGCCAACAGTGAAACCCCGTCTCTCCTAAAAATACAAAAGTTAGTCAGGCATGTTGGTGTGTGCCTGTAGTCCCAACTACTGGGAGGTTGAGGCAGGAGAATCACTTGAAACCGGGAGGTGGAGGTTGCAGTGAGCCAACATCACACCACCGCATTCCAGCTTGGGCAACAAAGTGAGACTTTGTCTCAAAAAACAACAAAAAAATAGATTTGAGGGTACAAGTGCCATTTTGTTACATGGATATATTGCCTGGTGATGAAGTCTGGGCTTTAGTGTACCCATCACCCAAATTGTGTACATTGTTGCTTTTTTTTTTTTTTTTTGTAGCAAAGTGGAAGATGCATTCTACAAAGGTCAACTCAGACTGAATGAGGAAAAATTATGGAAGAAAAGCAGAACGGTGAGATACTAACCTAAAATGACAGCCAGATGTTTTCATCACTTACTCTGCTAGTAACTCAATTAATGCTGCCCCAAATTTTCCCTCTGGCTCCTCTTCCTTCTCTGAGGTCCTCTGTGGTCCTCCAGCTCAAGCTGGTGGGAATCGGCTACAGGCTTCAGACACAGGCACTTTCACTTTTGCAGCCTTCATGACCTTCTGATGAAGCTTCTCCCTTTTAAAATTTTAGAATACGCCACTGTTCGAACTGGCAGAAATCCATTAATTAAACTTCCAGGTCATTAATGTTAGCCCTCATGGAATCCACATAATCAGATTTCAAAGAAACATGTGATCCATGTAGAGTTGTTCTTTGGCCAGTGGTATCTGAGCAGATGTGTAGTTCTGTACAGCTCAGCAGTACCCAGGGAGTGCTTGCTGGATGCACAGCTTTGTGTGCAGAGCAGCTATAAAAAATGATGTGTTCTGTATTTTCTGACAAGTCCATATCAATACTGTTGTTAAGTGAAAGTCAGTTACAAGAAAATGTGTTTCCAGTCTCCACTTTTCTAACAATAAATCATATATAAAAATTCACAGTGGCTCATGCTTGTAATCCCAGTACTCTGGGAGCTGAGGCCTGCGGATCACTTGAGCCCAGGAGTTCAAGACAAGCCTGGGCAGCATGGCAAAGCTCTATTTCTACAAAAAATACAAAAACTTAGCCAAGCGTGGTGGCGGGCGCTTGACCCAGCTACTTGGGAGGCTGAGATGGGAGGATTACCTAAGCCTGGGAGGTCAAGGCTGCAGTGAGCCATAATCATGCCAGTGCACTCCAGTTTGGGTGACAGAGTGAGACCCTGTCTCAAAAAAAAAAATTCTCTCCAGGCACAGTGGCTCACGCCTGTAATCCCAGCACTTTGGGAGGCCAAGGCAGGCGGATCACAAGGTCAGGAGATCAAGACCATCCTGGCTAGCATGGTGAAACCCATCTCTACTAAAAATACAAAAAAAAAAATTAGCTGGGCGTGGTGGCGGGCGCCTGTAGTGCCGGCTACTCGGGAGGCTGAGGCAGGAGAATGGCATGAACCCAGGAGACAGAGCTTGCATTGAGCTGAGATGGTGCCACTGCACTCCAGGCTGGGCAACAGAGTGAGACTCCCATCTCAAAAAAAAATTCTGTTAGAAAATATGTTTTTGTAAAAGTAAATTACATATATATACACATCTGGAATTACAATGCTGCTATTACTAGTATTTATCTTTAAGTGAAACATTATGGATTATGTTAATTTTCTTCATGCTTTTTATTTTCTGAATTTTTTTACCATGCGTATGTATCACTTTCATAATTGGAAAAAACAATACTGGTAATAAAAGTTAACAAAACACAATAAAAAGGTATGATAGAGACCCTTAAAAAGTGTGGAAGACACAAGACATGTGAGGTGTTGGAAGACATAATCTAACTCTGTGTTCAGGGAACAAAGGTTCCAGAGAAGTTAGATGTACTTTGGAGATTGTTTTGATTTCATCTTTCATATTTCAAAATATCCCTGGGGTTGGAGGATCCAAGCTACATCCGGTTGCCCTAGGACATGGGACATTGAGGCTGTCAGCTGTGCATTTGGGTGAGCACTGAGGCTTCCTGTAGTCCTTGCTAACTGGGATCATGCAGGTTCTTGCAGCTCTGTGGGCAGAAGGAGGGAAAAGTCCCCCATGCTGTCTCAGCCCCCAAGTGCCAAGGCACTGGTGATGCCCCTGACTTGAACCGGCAGGCTGGGACTGTGGCTGTTAGCTGTTGCTCAGTGAGCTGCATGCAGTCATAAACCCTTCTCATCTCTGAATTGCTTTTTCCTCCTTTAGCCTGCCCTCCTTCTAAGCTGCAGTATTCCAAAAACAAGATGTGTTCTTGGAGTAAAGAATGATTACCCCCTGAAAACCCCGTCTCTGTGCTGGGGTCTCATTTACAAACCCCACTAGACTATTTTTCTCCCCCCACCGTTTTGTGACGTTGTTAACTACAGCCTAATTGCTGCTGCTTCATTCTGCCTTGGGTGTTCTGTTGTCTCAGCTGCCTTCCAGGTTTCTTGTGAGGGTCAGCAAAGGAAGGGGGCATTATTAACACTCAGCTGTCTTGTTACTAGGAGGCCTGGTAGCCATGGAAACTGCAGCTAACTGGAGATTTGAAATGTAGATACTTGGAACAGCCCCTAATCCCAGCCAGTTTTGCTTTGTGTCTGCTGAGGGACAGGGCTGTGGAGGGGAATAAAGAATGCCTCGCCTTCCCTGGTCGGCTCTGTGGAGCCAGTGCCTGGCTGCTGACCCCAAAGGGTCAGGTGCTTGTCTGATGCAGCAGCTCTAACCCTCGCTGCCTGCAATTCAGCAAAGCTTTTCTTTGAGCTGAAAACCAGGTGAAACCCAGGGTGTGGTAGGTGTTGGGTAATTGTTGATTAAACAGTGGCTGTGTGGTGCCCAAGTATGGGGAGTGAATCCTTCCTAAACTCATCTCTTCCTGGGATCAGTCGGGTAAAGGAGGAACACCCCTTCTCTACGCTACAAGGAAGCCCCAAAGGGATTCATTCCTTAGCCACACACTAGCCTGCTCTTTAGAGAGGCAGACATCATGCACAATATCTCTATGAAAGGATATACATAGAGTATCCTTTTCTTTGTATATCTTCTTTGCTTTTCTTTTTCCTTTTCCTTTTTATTTTTATTTTATTTTAGAGACAGGTCTTGCTCGGTTTCCCAGGCTGGAGTGCAGTGGTGCAGCCACAGCTCATTGCAGTCTTGACTTCTGGGCTCAAGTGATCTTCCCACCTCAGCCTCCCGAGTAGCTGCTATGACAGGCACACCACCATATCTGGCTATTTTTTCATTTTTTATAGAGACAGGGTCTCACTGTGTGGTCCAGGCTGGTCTTGAACTCCTGACCTCAAGTGATCCGCCCACCTTGGCCTCCCAAAGTGCTGAGATTACAGACATGAGACACCACACCTAGCCTATATACCTTTTCTTCATATACCCTTTTGTATCTTCTAAATTTTTTATCGCATGCATATATTACTTATTGAAAATGAATTGTAGGCCAGGTGCAGTGACTCACACCTGTAATCCCAGCACTTTGGGAGGCCAAGGCAGGCGGAACACTTGAGACCAGGAGTTTGAGACCAGTCTGGCCAACATGGTGAAACCCCGTCTCTACTAAAAAAACAGAAAGTTGGCCGGGCGCGGTGGCTCAAGCCTGTAATCCCAGCACTTTGGGAGGCCGAGATGGGCGGATCACGAGGTCAGGAGATCGAGACCATCCTGGCTAACATGGTGAAACCCCGTCTCTACTAAAAAATACAAAAAACTAGCCGGGCGAGGTGGCGGGCGCCTGTAGTCCCAGCTACTCGGGAGGCTGAGGCAGGAGAATGGCGTGGACCCGGGAGGCGGAGCTTGCAGTGAGCTGAGATCCGGCCACTGCACTCCAGCCTGGGCGACAGAGCGAGACTCTGTCTGGAAAAAAAAAAATTAATAATAATAATTTGAATGAAATAAGGCACCCTCCCTTTCTTTCTTTCTTTCTTTCTTTTTTTTTTGAGACGGAGTCTCCTGCTGTCGCCCAGGCTGGCATGCAGTGACACGATCTCAGCTCACTGTAACCTCCGCTTCCCGGGTTCAAGTGATTCTCCTGCCACAGCCTCCCGAGTATCTGGGGTCACAGGCACCCACCACCACACCCAGCTAATTTTTGTATTTTTAGTAGAGATGAGGTTTCACCATGTTGGCCAGGCTGGTCGCGAACTCCTGACCTCAGGTGATCCACCCAGCTTGGCCTCCCAAAGTGCTGGGATTACAGGCGTGAGGCACCGCACCTGGCCGAGGCACCCTCCCTTTCATGCTGAGGCACTGGGGATAGGTGACAGTGACCGAGGTCAGGGCCTTTTCTCACCTGCCCCTCCTCTGGATCGTGATCATGTGGTGAAAACTCAAAGCAGTAGTGTTTGCATTGGTCTGGATTTCCTGAAGTGTAACCAAGCCTCCGTTTTCTTTTAATTTTCAGGTGAAAGTGGGAGATACATTGGATCTTCTCATTGGAGAGGATAAAGAAGCAGGAACAGAGACAGTTATGCGGATTCTCTTGAAAAAAGTGTTTGAAGAGAAGACTGAAAGTGAAAAATACAGAGTGGTGTTACGGCGGTGGAAAAGTTTAAAGTTGCCTAAGAAGAGAACATCTAAATAAATGGATTGCTTTTTAGCAATAAAGCTGCTTTCTAGTGGTAGAGGAAGGGGTCACCTGAAAAAGAGGACATTTTTATTAAAATAAAGTTCTCTTAGCGTGTGTGGAATCTGCTGAGCCATTTTGTAGAAACTAGGATCCATATCTGGAGACACTTCCCAAGGCCTGCCTTACCCCCACCCCCTGCCCACCTTGATCCATGCCCCTTTGACCTCCTCGTGTGAGAACCCCTTTGCCAGAGTGAGATGTGTGCAGAATGAACTAAGCCCCAGAGGGTTTTAATGGCTTGCCTGCTGTTTCCCACATAAACTACCTCAGGAGTCATTGTAAAATAAACTGGCCTTGTTGTCTCTTAGTGTTTTTATTTAAAATGTTCCCTGTCCAGCGGGGCCAGCTTCCTAGGTTCAGGTTTCTTTAGACAAAACCAAGCAAAGTCAAGGGTACTTTCAGATGTTAGGGGATAACCTCTGGGAGAGCCCTTTCTCCCCTGCCCTTCCGAACTACCAGTGGCAGGGGACCTTAGTTCCCTTCAATTTGTCTTCACAAGTCTGGATGAATAAAGTTTTTCCAGCTAATTTCAAACCAGCTAGTTAGAGCCCATTTGAAATTATTAGTTTAGGGCAGGCAGGGGTCCATAAACAAAGGCAGCCAAAGACTTGTGTTCTATGGCCCTTGAGCCAAGAATGGTTTTTACATCACACATGCATGCACACACACACACAGCCAGAGACCTGTGGCCCACAAAGCCTAAAATATTTACTTTAAAAAAAAAAAAAACCTTTTGGCTTGGCACAGTGGCTTACACCTGCTAACTCGGCATTTTGGGAGGCCAAGGCAGGTGAATCAATCCCAGGAGTTTGAGATCAGCCTGGGGGCAACATAGACTTCATCTCTCTCTCAAAAAAAAGACATTTTTGTAGAAGGGGGTTCTCACTCTGTTGCTCAGGCTGTCTCCAACTCCTGGGCTCAGGTGACTGTCTCACTTTGGCTTCCTAAAGTGCTGGGATTACAGGCATGAGCCACTGTACCTGGCCAAAGTCTAAAATATTTACTATCTACCCCTTTACAGAAAAAGTTTTTTGACGCCTAGTTTAGGGTAATCAGTAAGGGTTTAATTTTCGGGTGAAAGTAAACATACCTGTTTTATCAATGAAGAGAATAAAACCAATTCTAATTCTCAAAGTGTCATAAAATGGATTAAGGCTTACCAGAGTGGTGTGGTGGGGTAGACACACACATAATGTACATCATCTAAGAAAGGACCTATGGATGAATAGGCCAGGCTATAGATTCCCAGGAGCTGTTTGCTGGCACTTGGAGAGGTTACCTCCAATAAGAGACTTGTTAGATTATGTCACATCAAAAAGACTGGCTGGCCCAGGCACAGTGCTCACACCTGTAATCCCAACACTTTGGGAAGCTGAGGCTTGAGGTCAGGAATTTGAGACCAGCCTGGCCAACACGGTGAAACCCCATCTCTACTAAAAATACAAAAATTAGCTGGGCATGGTGGCAGGCACGTGTAATCCCAACTACTCAGGAGGCTAAGGCAGGAGAGAATCGCTCAAACCTGGGAGGCAGAGGTTGCAGTGAGCGGACATCGCGCCCCTGCACTCCAGCCTGGGCGACAAGAGCAAGACTCCATCTCAAAAAAAAAGAAAAAAAGACCCTGTATCTGGGCTCTTATTTGTCCCCCAGGAATTCCTGAGAATCCTTAACTGGCAGTGAAGAGAAACTTCTGTAGCCCAAAGCAGTGGGATGTTTGGGCTCATGTGTCTGGAACTGTTAACCAGCTTATTTATTTTTTTTTTTTTTTTGAGACGGACTCTTGCTCTGTCACCAGGCTGGAGTGCAGTGGTGCGATCTCGGCTCACTGCAACCTCCGCCTCCCAGGTTCAAAGGATTCTCCTGCCTCAGCCTCCCGAGTAGCTGGGATTACTGGTGCCCACCACCATGCCCAGCTATTTTTTTTGTATTTTAAGTAGAGATGGGGTTTAACCATGTTGGTCAGGCTGATCTCGAACTCCTGACCTCATGATCCGCCCACCTCAGCCTCCCAAAGTGCTGGGATTGCAGGCGTGAGCCACCAAGCCCAGCATAACATCTTTCTTATACACACAAGCCTCACAGCCCGCTGCTTCTGCCTTTTGATAGCTGCTACCTCCCAATCTATAGCTTGAAATTTCTGGAAGGGCACTGAAACTGAATGTGGCTTTCCAAATTTACTATTCCTCTCAAAGACACGCTGTGCTGGCCGTTTTTTTCTTTGTTTTTTTTGTTTTTTGTAAAGTTTTTTGTTCAACATTATTGCTAACAGATTGGGTAAATATAATATCAAAAGTAGGATGGTCCTGAAGGCATGGATCCCGATAAACTTTTCTTTTTTTTTTTTTTTGAGGTTGAGTCTTGCTCTGTTGCCCCAGCTGGAATACAATGGTACAATCTCGGCTTGCTGCACCCTCTGCCTCCTGGGTTCAAGCGATTCTCCTGCCTCAGCCCCCCGAGTAGCTGCAATTACAGATGTCTGCCACCACGCCTGGCTAATTTTTTTGTATTTTTAGTAGAGACGGGGTTTCGCCATGTTGGCCAGCCTGGTTTGGAACTCCTGACCTCAGGTGATCTACCCACTTCGGCCTCCCAAAGTGCTAGGATTATAGTCATGAGCCACCACGCCTGGCCAATGGGACTTTATTCTTAAAGTTGGTGAGACCTTCCCTAAGGCAGACAAGTGAAGTCCTAAAGACCACAGTCAAGGCCAGACCACAGGTGTCTAAAATGGAGAATTTCTGTTTAGAGGTCAAGTAAGGACTCGCTTCTGGAGTCTCATTCAGAGGAGTCACTATTAGACGCTTCTTCATAGAATGCATGGAGAATTTTTGTTAGGATTGTAGGAGAAATCCCTTAATTTTTTTTGTTTTGTTTTTTTGCTTTTTTGTTTTTGTAACCATTATTTTGCTTAAATCCTTTAATTCTTGATTCTAAGACAGACAAATGAAAGGTGAGGCCGAAATGATAGTGGCTAACTCTTTGGATGTAAGCAATGCAATCAGTATTAACTACCTGACGAGAAGGTACCCATCACCACGGCCTTCCTTACCTATGCTGAAGGATATGCCTCTTTATTTTTTATTTATTTATTTTTTTTTTTGAGACAGAGTCTCACGCTGTTGCCCAGGCTGGAGTGCAGTGGCGCGATCTCGGCTCACTGCAAGCTCCGCCTCCCGGGTTCCCGCCATTCTCCTGCCTCAGCCTCCTGAGTAGCTGGGACTACAGGCGCCCGCCACCGCGCCCGGCCAATTTTTTGTATTTTTATTAGAGACGGGGTTTCACTGTGGTCTCGATCTCCTGACCTTGTGATCCGCCCGCCTCGGCCTCCCAAAGTGCTGGGATTACAGGCTTGAGCCACCGCGCCCGGCCTGGATATGCCTCTTTATGCATGGAACTGTGCCTCGGTTAAGATTTCAGCTTGTCAAAACCAAGGAGGAGAGGCATGTCGAATACCCTGTGTCAGAAAGAGCACAAGCTACACCAGAAACACCAGGGCTCTTGAATTCCACTGTCAGTACTCACAGCACACTTAGCAACTATATATCAGTCTCTGGAGAAACAGGAGTCCGGAAACACTGCAGTCCTTGCAGGTGTGCCTCAGGCCAGAGCCCAGCCCAATTCCATCTGCATGGCCTCAGCTGTCTGCACTGTGAGGAGGAGCCAAGCTTCCCAGTCTGGTTCTATCTTTGCACATCTTGAAAATTGGCTTCAGGTAACAGATGTCAGGTTTTGTGCTGTTTACTACCAGAACCTTCTCTTCAAGCGCAAATGGGCTTTATTTATTTATTTATTTATTTATTTATTTATTGAGAGAAGTCTCGCTCTTGTCCCCCAGGCTTGAGTGCAATGGCTTGGTCTCGCCTCACTCTTACCTCCGCCTCCCAGGTTCAAACGATTCTCCTGCCTCTGCCTCCCAAGTAGCCAGGCTGGTCTCGAACTCCTGACCTCAGGTGATCCACCCGCCTTGGCCTCCCAAAGTGCTGGGATTACAGGCATGAGCTACCAGGCCCAGCCAACTTCTTAACTATCAACTCACGAGGCTGGGACTTGTTAGAATTATGGATCACTGCCCAGCAGATAGCTGGTCCTCCAAATGTATTTGATGAATGATTCAACTGCCTTAGAGGCAGAGATGTTCTTACTGCATTCCTTAGTCTATTTCCTGTGGCATTGAAAGATTTTCTGGTTTTGGGGGGATTGTTTTTTACTTTTTGTTTTTTAACACAGAGTTTCGATCTTATTGCCCAGGCTGGAGTGCAATGGCACAATCTCGGCTCACTGCAACCTCCACCTCCCAGGTTCAAGCGATTCTCCTGCCTCAGCCTCCCAAGTAGCTGGGATTACAAGCACCTGCCACCATGCCCAGCTAGTTTTTTGTATTTTTAGTAGAGATGAGGTTTCACTATGTTGGCCAGGCTGGTCTAGAACTCCTGACCTCAGGTAATCCACCTGCCTCAGCCTCCCAAAGTGCTGGGATTACAGGCGTGAGCCCCTGCACCCGGCCAGTTTCCTGGGTTATACTCTCTCACTAGGGCGATCCAGAAGCCCAGAAATAGTGGACAGTCAGCAAAACCCCAAGTTAAATCACAGGAACCACTAGGCAGAGACACAGAGAAATGGATTTACTTGGCACAGCTACATAAGTGGCAGCACAGGAATGAAGAGCACAGACTTTGGAGTCAGCCTGGCCTCCGTTAGAAGCCCCAGCTCTGCCAGCTATTTGACCTTGGCCAAGATACTTAACTCTGGAAGCATCCATTTCCCCATCTGTAAAATGGATTTCTGTAAGGATTAAATGAAATGACATATATCAAGTTCCCAGCACATCCCTGACCCAATACAGATGCTCAAAAATGGGAGCTATTATTAGAAACAGAACTCTGATTTCATGACCTATGGTCACTTCTGAATCCACAGGAGTCACACTGTAGGAGCTCCTGGAAGGACAGGCTGTAGCATTACATGCTCTCAACCTCTATTACGGACACGGTTCACCATCAGGAATACGACTGTTTAGAAGAACAAATGAATTCTTTTTTTTTTTTTTTTTTGAGACGGAGTCTCG